TACCCAGTTACAGTGACAGTCCAGTATACCTCGATACAGCGACAACCAAGGATACTTGGTACAGCGATAATCCTGTGGAACTGGATACAACAACAATCCTGTATGCCTAAATACTTCTTTCGGTTAATATATCTGTGATATTAATTTTTAGCAGAGATTTCTTATGCACACGGCAAGGGTTTTGAATACACGACAGTATTTTTATGGATAATAACTTCTTTTTTGTACTCTTTGTAGGACGTTTCAGAGCTCCTGAAGGTGATAGAATTCAATTGCAAGATAACAAGAAAAAACAAATATTAATTGACAGAACAACTTAACACACAGTTGTTTTGAAACAGCTTATTAATAAATTGCTCTACATATTCATTAGTAAATCTTCCACACATCTGTGCCTGATAATATTTCCTTCTCTTTTTTCGACAGTGTTCATTTCCATCTTCCGGGTAAGTTGAGGGGTGGGTGGGGGTGGGGGTGGTGGGGGTGGTGGGTTTGGGGGTGTGGGGGTGTGGGGGTGTGGGGGGGATGGGTGGGTGGGTGAGGGTGGGGGGATGGGGGTAGTAGAGGGTATACTACAATTACTACGGCTTTAGCTTCCGTGAGTATAAAAGAAGAGTGGTAGCTGTATGACACAACGTGGAGCACCAACCCTTACTGACACACGTGCGATACAGGTGACGATCAATGTAAGTATCTACGGGTGTATCTACTTTGCATGAGTTCTTTGAGGTATAAATCGTCATTGATCGATTGAATGATTGATTGATTGCTATTTAACGCAACACTCAGCAATATTCCCGCTATATGACGGCGATTGGTAAATAATCGAGTCTGGTCTAGACAATCCGGTGTTTGACATCATGAGCATCGATCCACGCTTTTGGGATTCGATGACATGCATCAACCAAATTGGAGCTTGCTTCCAATGTATATCATAAATCACTAGAATCGATACAATGGTGCATGCTCAGTATACATCCTGATTCCCAGCTTCAAAGTGTCACTTAATGCAACGTACCAGCCTGTGTATAGTTGAAGCTGTAATGGTGTAACCAGGTCACACGCTGACATTATGAGATCCAACATAAGTAATAAGTCTTATTGTATGTAGAGTCTTTATCACACGGACACTGGTAGGCGTCGTCCTAGAGTGTGACCGGAGGTCCCGGGACAGCGTGTCTTATTGTATGTAGAGTCTTTATCACACGGGCACTGGTAGGCGTCGTCCTGGAGTGTGACCGGGGGTCCGGAGACAGCGTGTCTTATTGTATGTAGAGTCTTTATCACACGGACACTGGTAGGCGTCGTCCTAGAGTGTGACCGGGGGTCCCGAGACAGCGTGTCTTATTGTATGTAGAGTCTTTATCACACGGACACTGGTAGGCGTCGTCCTGGAGTGTGACGGGGGTCCGGAGACAGCGTGTATTATTGTATGTAGAGTCTTTATCACATGGACACTGGTAGGCGTCGTCCTGGAGTGTGACCGGGGGTCCGGAGACAGCGTGTCCCGAGTCCCGTGAGTCGACCGCCACTCCGGTCGTGTCTCTTCCTTATATAAGTACAAGCATACAGTTGTATACATGACGACGAATGCATTTACAGAAGTACGTACACCATTCTGATTGGACAATACATGCCATGGATATTATACAATTTCATTTGAATGGACATGGATAGATTGACTTAACCTGATTGACATTTATGCTCATCTATCTCTAATGAAGCTGAGACGTACATGCATGACAGGTGGCATGTCGCTTTGGGCGTCAGTCAGCAACTTTATTACAAATGTAGGACAGCGTCTCAAAGGACGGACAGTTTGTAAACGTATACACGTAAAAGTAGCTGTATGACAATATAATGCAGTATATAATTGGAAACTACAACGCTGACGCACTTCCACTACTTTCCAACCCTTGTTGTTATGCTCTTCATCGTCTTGTTTCATTGAGTATGTCGACGGGAAATGTTTTTTATCACTTATTTGTTCTTTCAATTCAGTTTTAGTCAACACAATGGCTGCCTCAGTGGTGATGATGTGGATAGCTTGCTTGGTAATTGCTACTGAAGGTAAATAAAAGTGACGAAACCCTTTCTATATTCAATAATAATGTCTTCTAAAAGCAGAGTGGATTGTACGATTCTGACTATGTCATGACCATGTGTTTATGAATAACTATCAAACAGTGATGATACCACGTGTTAGGAATAGGTGAGCGTATCCTGCCCCACCGGTAGCAATCGTCAAAAACACATGCAAAGGCAAGTAAATTGTTCACCTGAAGAAAAAGGAATTGTATTGGACATCAATTTTGTCACTGTTGCGTCAAATTTGGTAATATCCTCCACATGTCTTCCTGAAATCCTTTTTGAAAGGTTTACTTAGGCATTGAATGTTGTAACTTTGATCAATCAACGTCTGAGCAAGAGTCGTATGACGCTCTTTGACATCTTGGTAGAGTGAGTATGCTCAAAAGTTGTGCAATGCAACCACCAGAGGCTTTAGCTGCTGTAGTGTTGCTTGACATGAAGGGAAAGTCGACTATTCGAAAACTGAAATATTGCGTTCTATTGCTAATATTGGTGATCTGGTCTTAATATTTGGTAATATCCATACTCCAGCATTGTGATATTAATGGCGACAGGATTGTTGTATGAGGTGACGTCAAATGCGGATTATGTTCAAGATTGTTTTCACTTATATAGCGATGTGCATGCATATGTTTGTGTGCGGGTCTGTGTACTAGGTATTAAACTTTCAAAGTCGGTAATTACCCTGTGAGTGTCGAATGCTTTAATATTTCACTGTGACGTATCACTAGTCTGAAAAAAGTAGGAGTAGAGAAACGTCAAGTTGAAATGATATTACTAATCTTGAACTATGTAAGTCATTCCTGTGGAGATCCGGGGTATAATAGGTCTTCAGCAACCCATGTTTGCCATAAAAGGCGACTATGCGTGTCGTAAGAGGCGACTAATGGGATCGGGTGGTCAGACTCGCTGACTTGGTTGATGCATGTCATCGTATCCCAATAGCGTGGATCGATGCTCATGATATCAATCACTGGATTGTCTGGCCCATACTCGATTATTTACAGACCGCCGTCATATAACTGGAATATTGCTTTGCGTTAAACAACAAACAAACAAACAAACATTCCTGTCATTATCGTGATCGTACTTGTAGCTTGGTTACCAATAATGCCGATCAGTATGTAGTTGTTCATGTACAGAGTATAGGTATATACTCAGCCCTGCCATTTTCATCAACCATCTTAAATAGCTTCCATTAAATGCTCGCTGAGCTGTTAATATTAGAATGTATTTGTTAAGGTATAACCAGTCCTCTTTATCGTTCTGTTCACGAAACAGTAATGTCCAAGTGGGAATTGCAGAGACGACTGGGCCACCCGTGCCACCCGTGCAACAAGGATCATTTGTAGCGGGAGCATGAGGGGTATATGGGGCCTTGCTCGTGGCGGGGTAGAAAGGATTTATTGAGAAATTTATTTCCCTCCATTGCTGGTTACGAAGTATTTTATCAAGTTCACGTTGACTAATTAGATCTCATCATTCTGACATGGAGGTATGATAGAAAAGCTTATTTTTAATACTATAAATAGTTACCTGCATCTTGACTTTCAGCTGACCCATGCAAGAAAACCAATCACTGTTCAGAATGTGACGGAAAGTCCGGGGATTGCCTCACTGAGTGTGACACTGGGTATTACGGACGTAAATGCAACTCTACCTGCAGCAAGAACTGTAGGAATAACACATGTGTGACCTCAAGCCATGGTAGTGCTAACTGCACTGATGGGTGTGTGCCAGGATATCAAGGCATCAGCTGCAACATACCATGTGACAGTTCAGGAGGTAACTGTACAGCATGTCCAGGTGGGTGTGATGGAGGATATTGTCAGCTGGGCTCCTCCTGTGTGTCTGGATGTGTAGACTCCTACTACGGGACTGACTGTGATGGTAGGTATAGTTTTACAAAAGGTTTTAATAGCATTACTATTCATATGATCGATATTCATGTGGCGATCAGAACTTGTAGTTTATACTCTCGGTAAAGTTGCTTAATGTGTCGGTATTCCTGAAACCGGCTGAGTGAGACGGTCGTCTGTTTTCAAGTTATCACACATACATCAATATATTATCAACACCATTGATCATCTCCGGTCAATAACGTGTGTTCATGTTAATGAATGATTCCACTCATTGAGGTATCATATATAGTATCTTGATACAAGCTGGATCTGAGAGAAAGTCATGATCCCCGTATGATACCCAAAAAGTGTCACTGCCCTGTTGAAACGTTCAGATATACAAACTTTCTATCTCTCTCTATCTCTCTGTCTCTCTGTCCCTCTGTCCCTCTGTCTCTCTGTCTCTGTCTCTGTCTCTGTCTGTGTCTCTCTCTGTGTCTCTCTCTGTGTGTGTGTGCCTCTCTCTGTGTATGTGTGCCTCTCTCTGTGTGTGCCATACTGTAGAGTCCCTAGAGAGTTGAACATGACATTCGTGAACACATCGATCCTCCGCCAGGAGTACACAACGGTGGGATACACTATTCCTATTGTGTCAAGGGGGGCACGGGGGGGCCCAGTCATCTAAGGCGCCGCGATTTTCTGTGCAGAGTTGGGCACAACAGAAACCTATGATTATGGGTTCGAATCCGGGTTCACCCCGATTATGTTTCTAGGTCTGTAAGCACCATACCCGTGCTCGTTGGTTTCATCACTTCGGGCTTTCCTCCCACATTAAGCTGACACGCCGCGATATAACTGGAATACTGTTAAAAGCGGCGTTAAACCCAACTCACTCACTGTTGTGTCACACGCTTCGTATTTATATAATATAATCAGTATTATACATGTTCAAAATTCAGTGTGATGACTTGCTTCTGTTTTGCCGTTCAAGTTAAGGAAATAAATTGAGTTTTATACTGACATTGTTCTGTCAGGTGCTAAAGTGGGAGTGTCCGGGGCAGCTATCAGCTTCCTGGTGATGGTGTACCTAGTTGTGTCCGGGGCATATATCAGTTTCCTGGTAATGGTGTTCCTGGTTGTGTGCTGCAAATATCGCCAACGCTTCAGGCAAAAAAGGTGAGTGAGTGGATGACTGATACACAGTTATCAATACTGCCAGCAATATTCCAGTCACAACTGGCCACTGTACCATGCTGTTCGTAACAAATGACTAACATCGAGTGTGGGTTTCGAGGATTGAGGACGCCAAATCATTCTGAAGCTTCGCCGGGTTTGTTCTAGTCACAGGTTGTAACACTTGCTCGAAGTTGAAGGGTGCCGTTGCCTCAAATACTGAAGTAGCCCTGGCGGCTTGATTGACTGTAATACAAGGCAGATACATCTATGAAATATACTCATATTTTGAAGCAAAACTGTAGACACATGGTCACATAAGTAATGACTGACTTCTTAGAGTACAAGTTTTGTATTTGAATCAACATGTTATATCCTCCAAAGTCCCCTGTCACAGCCCAGTCTCTTGCACAAAGCGATACTGACAACAACGCTAGTTACTTCCCGTTACAACTTAAATGAAGCCCGCTAAATGTATTAATGGCCAAAACATTTAACCCAAATTCCAACATGGGGATCAATGTGACTATGACGTGGGGTGCTGTGTCTCACGATACCCCGCGGCGTGAGATGTTGATAATAAAATCAGCCATCCCATTGTGCATTTTTTTGCATTTCATTACAATAAACTTATAATTGTGGGACCCTACGACATTTGAGTAAAGATATGTTTCACCATCGTTGAGGGAAAAAATTTACAGATACAAAGTCAGGCACCATCAACGCATTATCTCCATTCTTGTGTGCTAAGTGCTCTGTGTCCACCACTGAAGCTAGTAGCAATAACCCAAATCATGACTTGAAATCAACACTCACGTGAACTCGTCTGAAGGAGCGAGATTGGCAAGCTTTGTTTCTTATTTCACATTATTAATTAAACCATGATATTTATTTCATTAAGTGTTTATGTTTAGTGTCATGCATGAGTGGGGGCACGGGTGGCCAAGTCGTCTAAGGCGCCGCGATTCGCTGTAGAGAGTTGTGTCCTTTGGGCACGCCAGGAACCTATGAATCCCGGTTTACCCTGATTATGTTTCTAGGTTTGTCAGCACCATACCCATGCTCATTGGTTTCAAAGTCCAAACACCAACCCACCCTTGCAGCCCCCTACCCACTCACTCACTCACTCACTCGCTCGCTCGCCGCCCGCCCGCCCGCCCGCTCACGCACTCACTCACTCAACCCCTTCATCACTCACTCACTCACCCACTCACCAACTCATCACTCACTCACTCACTCACCCACCATTATTCGGCTATTCTCGTGCTCATGTTGAAAAGAATGTCCACAGTTAATGACATAGTTTTGCATTCTTCTTACTCCTCAGTGTCACCCAGACAGAGGACGTCGTGTGCGACTCTGTTGACGACATGGGTGGTGAACCTGTTGTGGAGCTGGAATGGTATTCTGAGATACAATGCGGGTCACCTGATGGAAACTGTGGAAGTGGAGGTGCAGCTGGTGGAGCGGATGATGTTTATGACGTTGCAGATGTAGGCAGGCGGGAACTTGATGCTGTCTGTGGCAACATATACTCCAAAATTTCACGTGCTTAGAGTGAGTGAGTTGGGTTTAACGCCTTTTTTAACAGTATTCCAGTAATATCATGGTGTGTCATCTTAAGCCCAAATTGAGCAGGTCTTTGACGTTTGCCACTTTGTAGGCAACCCAAGAAACCCACGAGCACGGGTATGATGCTGACAAACCTAGAAACATAATCGGGGTGAACCGGGCCTTGAGCCACAATCATAGGTTCCTTGCGTGCCCAAGGGACGCAACTCTGCACAACAAATTGCGGCACCTCAGACGACTAGGCCACCCGTGCCCCTCACCTGGATAGAAATCGAACATTTCGGAAAGGTCATTTGTTGACAATACGTTATTCTTGCATTGAACGTCTGCAGGGAGACCGGAAGACGGTGGTTCGATTCCACAGCAACCGGAACAAGTCGGGTTTGTTTTGTTTGTTTGTTTGTTGTTTTACGCCACACTCAGCAAAATTCCAGCTATATGACGGCGGTCTGTAAGTAATCGAGTCTGGACCAGACAATTCAGTGACTGACATCATGAACATCGACCCATGCAATTGGGATCAATGACATGCATCAACTAAGTCAGCAAGCCTGACCACCCAATCCCGTTAGTCGACTTTTATGACAAGCATAGTCGGCTTTTACGGCACTCATGGGTTGCTGAAAACAAATTCTATCCCGGATCTTCACAGGTCGGAATATTGCTGACTGCAGCGTTAGACGTTCACGCGTCTACTGGTTGTACAGTAATTCTCAATCATTCATTCTCTGGAAATAGTGTATACATGTGTGTATGTTGCGACTCATTTGCCGAGTTTGCTAACGTGGTGCCGGGTGTGGCTTTCCTACATATACTTATCTAGCATTTTGTAAGTTTATTCTCCTCTTATGTACATTTTAGCAGATGAAATGATTTTGCCGTGCAACATTCGTAACACGGAAATATTTGTGAAAAACATTAATAATTGGCCATCAATTTCCGTGTATTTGCAATTCAAGATTGAACAGCGCATATTCATATTCTGTTACCCGCCAGCTTGGCCTTGTTTCTGGACAGAGATAATGAATCAAGTAAGATGACGTGTTATTTGTTGAAAAGAGTTGTACGAAACCAAAGCCTTAACAGGCCAATACGTTGAATGCTTAGGCTATCGGTTGTTTGCTTGTTATTTAACGCCACTCTCAGCAATATTCGAGCTATATAACGGCGGTCTGTAAATAATCGAGTCTGACCAAGACAATCCAGTGGTTGATATCATGAGCATCGATGTACACAATTGGGTTAAGATGTGATTCATCTAACAAGTCAGCGAGCCTGACCGCCCCGATCTTGTTAGTCACCTCTTACGTCGTCTTTACGGCAAACATGGGTTTTTGAAGACCTATTCTACCCCGGATCTTCACGTGTCTCCTTCTGATACATGTATCAAAGATATGTTATATGTTCGGTTACGGATACATAGATCCATAGTTATGGTGACTCAATCGATTTTGTGTTTTTAATACGAATAAAAACATTTTGCTGTACGTGTGAAGTATCGCAATTATATGCTATGATATTTATGTTCAGCAAATATACAACCAAATCCCTGTCTCAAGAACAAACCATAATCTATAATACAACCAAGAACGACAATTTTTATATTTACAGAAAGTACTTAAAACAAGTGGAAGTAAAAGCACGTGCATTCTCAAAGCCTCAAAGGATTCGCTTGACTTTATGCAATCTCAGAGAAGAAATAAAATGTTGTTCTGTCAATACATTTGATTTTTTCCCACCACAATCCCACATGACAAACCTGAGGCTAGGAAAATCTTCATTCCTTGATCCATGGAGCTTTTGTTACAAAACGAAGAGACCACAGATACAGTTACGTGCCTTCAGAGGTTCAGGACAATTTGTCATAAATTGAAGCAAATGCCATCTGACGTTTCTTGAGAAAACAATTTGTGAAATGCTGGACGTCCCCGTTTATATCATTTATGTAAAATGTGGTGGTAAGACATTAAGGCAAGACGTAGGCATCCTCGTGGACACCAACTGTGTTTTCCTTCTTGCAAATCTGTTTTGTTATAACAATAACAATCAAATAACTCTAACTGACATCTCCCTCACCTCCATAACTCTCTCCCACACACACCCTGTTCTACCCTACACCAACCAAACCTTCTCTGCCGTGTACCACACCGACTTAACTCTAACTGACATCTCCCTCACCTCCATAACTCTCTCCCACACACACCCTGTTCTACCCTACACCAACCAAACCTTCTCTGCCGTGTACCACACCGACTTAACTCTAACTGACATCTCCCTCACCTCCATAACTCTCTCCCACACACACCCTGTTCTACCCTACACCAACCAAACCTTCTCTGTCGTGTACCATTCCGACTTAACTCTAACTGACATCTCCCCAACCTCCATAACTCTCTCCACACACACACCCTGTTCCACCCTACACCACCCAAACCTTCTCTGTCGTGTACCACACCGACTTAACTCTAACTGACATCTCCCCCACCTCCATAACTCTCTCCCACACACACCCTGTTCTACCCTACACCACCCAAGCTCTAAGCCACGCCAACAACCAGAGTGACAAATGTGTTGTTAGTCACTCATATAGACATCATTGAGGAAGTTGTAACATTACAACTCCACGCCAGATTTAGTATAATCGTACAGTTGATACTTACCGTATTCGACGTAATAAGCGCCAAGGTCGCTCTCAAAATTAGAAAAAAGGGGGCTCTTATTGGAATATTATTTTGCGGAGTTGAAGGTTCGTAAATTTCATGGTTTATGCTGACAGCCTGAAATGTTTATATACGACATATATATTTTTCCAGGACATAAATGCTCATAATTAAGGGTGCATAAAACACACGAGTGCGTATAATACACAAATAAATAAGTCTTGTGTACATTGATCGGAGGAGTGATTGAGATTGTTCACTAGCCAATATATTAGCAAATATCGCCGTGGGCGCTTATTAGAGCGGGGCTCTTATTACGTCAAAAACGGTAATAGTTTCCTCCTATCTGTGCACAGACGCGTCCTGCTCAACCTGTCTACATGTATCGCTATACAGGCATACTCACGTCTGTTGATGTTGTGCACAGACGCGTCCTGCTCAACCTGTCTACATGTATCGCTATACAGGCATACCCAAGGCTCGGAGATGTTGTGTTCTGTCCGCATTGTGTTCATGCATGAAGTGTTCTCATTCACCGCGCTGTTGAGAGTGTGTTGTTGGGCTCGACATTGAATAAGAAGGTTTTATCCAAAGTCCACACATGCATATCCCTGGTTGCAATAGGCCCCTAGCAACCTATGGTCGAACGAGTCCCTTAAACGATCGGGTTGATCACTGTTTGGTTGATTTGTGTCATCATACCCAAATGATCCATAATATCAATCGCTGGATTTACTGATCAAATGCTGAATATTTGAACACTGTTGTGACCTAGGTGAACTGTTGCTGAGTGAGGTGTTAAACAACAAACAAATACCTCATATCCGGAATGTATGCGAAAAACATGATGAATGCATGTGATCCCTTTGCTGAGGGCGGCACGGGTGGCCCATTCGTCTAAGTCGCCGCGAAACGCTGTGCAGAGTTGCGTCCCGTGGACACGCCAGAAATCTGTGATTGTGGGTTCGAATCCCGGTTCGCCCCGATTATGGTTCTAGGTTTGTCAGCACCATACCTGTGCTCTTTGGTTTCACCGAAGTGGTAAACGTCTGAGACCCGCATCACTTCGGGCTTTCCCCGCACATTAAGCTGACACGCCGCGATATAACTGGAATACTGTTATAAGCGGCGTTAAACACAACTCACTCACTCATTCACCTTTGCTGAGATTGATGGTGTGTATTATTCTGATGACTCACGCGTCAACAACGGATCATACATGTACGGAACGAGGGTAAATCAACTTTGTTAAAAGTGAAGTAATGTTTGACAACATCAGGGTGCAATTTTTACTTCAAACCTGACTACATCTCTACCCCAAAGTTTCCCCTCTCCACAACACACTTAGATTTGTACTCCCACTCTCACTTCCCCCTTCCATAATCGTCACAGATCTAGTGGCTGAGCCCAGATTAATTCTCGGGAAAACAATGTGGGCGCGACTACTACGTGTAGGGGGTAAAGTTAGTTCAAGCATGGACAAGTTAGTTTATTTATCAGAGATTACCCTTACCCACAGCCTGAACTAACTTAGACATCATGAATAGTAATTAGAAACAAAATGTATATAATATGTAATGATTGCCTTTCTGTTTTGTGTTTCAAAATGTCAGCTACCTTCAACCCCTAATGGGCATCAAGGGCATGACGATAACAGCCTTGACATGTGCGAGGCGTTTGGTTTGAACTGTGCGTTAGGCTTTCATATCTGCAGTGTCAGGATGCATACTGCATGCACTGAGGGACGTGTGTCTGTTGTTCACCTGACCTTGATAACAGTGAAGCTAATAGCAGTCCTGAATAGTCACCACCATGTATTTACAGTTTGATGAGAGTTTTCACTCCCATGTTCCTTGTGAATGTATTAAAGTATACATTATACAACGATGCATTCACTCAAGAAAGGATTTGTGTATCTGTGTCTAACAAACGACAACCCTACGTCTCTAGTTTCAGTTTCCGTGTAGTTATTTTAAACTGTAAATTATGTAAGGACGCGAGCCACTGACACCAACATTATTGTTTATGAAACCGCCCTACTAAATCACAAACCTGAAACGGAAAAATAACGAAATAAGTGCTTGTGTTGTTTAATCATTGCATATCTATGGATCTCTAACATCAACGGGAATCAGATGTATTCCTATTTCTCTTAATGAGCATCATTTCTTTATGTAATGCTATATCTTAATAGTTGACATGTGTTGGATTGAAGGTTCACAAAACGTACCTTAGTGATAATAATGTTTCTATGTCCGGGTAAATTTTCAAAGCAGCAGCTCTGCCTTACGCTCTGCGAGGGAGACAATCCATCGACCTGGAATCACGGATCCGACTCAGATGTGCGTT